ATCACTATGTCATCCAAATAGACTATTACTCCTTCCAGGCCAGCAACTATAGTTTCCATAACTTTCTGAAAAATTTTCGCGGCGCAATTGTTTGTATCTATGTTATAAGAAGAAAATTAAGAAATATTGAGCAATTATTTAATGTCAGTTTATTTCCTTTTCAAATTACTACATAACAAGAGCCACATGTGAAAAGGGCATACAAGCTTTTTGTAAACAAACCTTTGTAGGCCCTCTTCTCGCCAACCGAGGGTCACCCACGCAAACTAACAACATCATTGGGAAGGGGAAACCTTCCCCTATCCGGCGGTGTTGATGGTTTGCGTTGGTGTCCTATGGGTGGCGAGAAAAGGGCATAAGAATGTTTGTTTACCAAAAGCTTGTATGCCCTTTTTACATGTTGTTCTTGATAAGTCATTTCACTGCACCGTTTACACTTGTCAGCAGCTCTTCGATTACTGCAAGTGGATGTGTCTCTCGCGTCACAACTTGATTTGCCCTTCTCAAATCGATGCACAAGTTGATATCTCCAGTCTCTTTAACAACGGGAACAAATGGTGATACCCACGGTGATGGTCCATGATATCATTTTGAAACAGATACTGGAGCTTATCATAATATCATTTCCTTCGAGAGCGATTGGAGCGCGTCTGTATGTCGGCTGCACTGACTGAATTGATTTATCAATTGGTATCTCAACCCGAGTCTCAACCAGTACTCCCTTTGTCTTTGGAAATGTTGACTTGGAAGATGATTCGATGGATCCGACTTTCAGAACTTTCAGTTGCTTTGCACTAACATCACCTAGAAGATTTCGTTGCCCTTTCTCCGCTACATAGAATTTTGCCTTCACTTTATGAGATCCGGCTTGAACATCCGAACAGAACATACATTTGATTTTCATTGGTTGCTTTGTAGCTTTCCACAAAAAATCTTGCATCTCCATTCCTACTTGTTTGGCCTGATCCCGTGTCACCTCATGCAGACTGTTTACATCCGCTCCCGAGTTAATTATCATGGACATTGACTCCTCCCACCAGGAACTCAAATGTGTTCTCATTGCGTAGAAGATGTTGTTTTCCTTAAATTCATCTTTCTCCTCATCAGTCACTAATCTAATCTTCTCGGTTGATGAATTGTAGTGTCAACTGCCTTACGCTTTGGCACATTTTGCATTCCTTGCACGACATGTCATATTTCCTGTTAGGTGACCTCTACGCCCACACCACAGAACAAAAGGGGAAGTGCAAACTAGTCGGTGAATCAAAAAGTGGTGCGTTTTTCTGCTCAACAAGCGATGCATTGTGGTAGCGTTTCACACGGGCTTTCTATGCGCACTCACACTATCATAGCATGCTGCATATCTTAACTGCAGGCAGATGATGCCTTCTACTGCTAGGTTCGCTACTGTTCGCCAATTCAATAAAAGTGGAGCCACTTCTGATCCAAAGTTCCACTTCTGTTCTGTGACCACACGCAAAACATACTCTGTCTTTCCATTTGGTAAATGGAGTCTCCAACGGAATGAGCCTTGGCGTATCGTTGACTTGAACACCTTATTAACTGATGTCATGGACCCATTATACACTCGTTGTCGATCAAGCTCTTTCACTTGTTGATGGGCATCAGCAAGAGTCGATCCCAAAGAAAAGATAACTCTAAGACCAGAAGGTCTTGAACAAACGTGCTCAGCTCTGGTACTTTCTTCGGTCCCAAGCTAATCGATTCACCCCTCGAAACATAGGAAATTCCACGAACCCCTCATTTTATCTGTCACACTTTCATATCGAATCGAAACAAACATAGTGTAGTACCAGAATTTCGACTAGAACGGGTTACGGTAATCGATGTTCTTTGGACCCACCTGTTCTATACAAGGTGTGAAATTGATTGATATTGGTGAAGTTCGTTTTTCACTCGGCTTCCATTCGGCTTCCCACGATTCGTTTTTTCGTACGCTCAAGCGCGCTCGTAGTGACGTCATAACGTTTGTTACAATCAGCGTTTGCATAAGAAATTTAATATCGATTATAGAATTTCTGTATGAATCCAAAATTTATAAATGTTATTCCACTGAATGTTGAGATAATTTATTGATTATTCTATTATCAAACTGTATACCATGTAAAAGCAGTCTACCGGTAAGTTTGTGCCCGTTTTCAAGAAACGCCTGCTGAAATTTCCCGGAGAATTTACAACAGAATACAGTCAAGCGCAATATCATCATGCAAACATAGCTAGGATTTGCTTTACTTCATATTAGCAAATTTGCTTTCGAGTGTTATGACTTCCTAACCAGCCTCTCCCACAATATTTACCTTTTTTTCCTCTACCAACGCACACGTGAGGGTTAGATCTCCACACCTTGTATACACGCAGAGAGCATTAGAAATCCAAAATTCAAATATTATGAAATTTCAAAATGAAGGAAAAAAATCTTTCATAAGTTACTTATGCGTTTCATATAACACATGTCAGTTTTCATTATTTGGATATAAGCCATTCATGCGCCTTATGTTTGAATTTCACAATGCGCATTTTGAAAGTTGGAAGAGTGTTTACTGCGTATTTCACACCTGATGAGACTCCTGCGCTAAAAATAAGTACACAGTAATATTTTCGCACTGGTCATAAAAGTTAAATATGGAGCTTCTTATTGCTTTCTAGAGCTTTAATTCAACAGTGTAGCTTGCTAGTAATGTTCTAAAGCTGTTACTGCTTTTAAATAAGTCGATTTTTTTAATTTTCTGGCATGTGTGAAAATATTACTATGCAATTATTTTTTGCACAGGAGTCTAATTTGGTGCAAAATGCGCAATATTAAAAAAAAATCATAAGGAACGTTATAATTAGGTTTTTTACCGTCGGGGTCAACCTCAATCTGTTGACAGTTCAGTCAAAGATGAATACTAAGATGAAACTGTCGGAAGAAAAACTTTCTATTTTAGTGTCCTCTTTTGCGGTCCCTTTCATCCAATGAATACCCCCCGTATTCAAGGTAATTTTGTGATTTTGCTACCCCCTCAGTAGAGATGAAATTTTGCGCTCCTTTTTATCAAAACAATCACACAAAAATCGGAGTCCCATTTTTTAATTAGTCGATTAACAACTAATCGATTATTTTTTGTTCGCTGTGCTGCCATTTTTCCACCAATGAGAGTGCAGCACATGTTTGAAACAATCGGTGATGATCCTCTGGAGATGTTAATGCTTATATCGGCATGATATAACCATAGAGGTAACTCTAAGACTGGAAGGTCTCGAAATAACGTGCTCAACTTTTTGACTCAGCTCTGGTATTCTCTTCGGTCCCAAGCTAATCGATTCACCCCTCGAAACATATGAAAAACCAATAACCCCTCATTTTATCTGTCAAACTTTCATAGCGAATCAAAACAAACATTGCGTAGTACTAGAATTTCGACTAGAATAGGGTACGTTAATCGTTTGCTTGGGACCAATAGGCTAGTCAAGTAGTGAGCCAATTTAAAATCGTTAGTTTCGTATTGATTGTTGGCCATACTGGCCACAGATCAATGGCGAAGTTGAGCGCCAAAACAGATCGATATTGTAGATTTTGAAAATTGCTGAACTCATCAAATCGGATTGGAAAAAGGACTTGGAGGAGTGTAACTGTGTAAACGCATTGACGCCGCACCCAGTCACTGGATTTTCGCCTGCAGAAATACTTTTTGGACGAAAATTTAGAAATTGGATTCCAAAATCTTATCCAGACCGTGAATGATTTGGACGGAGAGGTTAGAGATAGAGATGCAATTAACAAATATAATATATACTAATTTTGCTAAAGGAGCAAAGGCTTCGAATTTGAAAGCGGGAGGCCAAGTTCTGAAGAAAAACTTGCATCCTACGAATAAGCTAGCCGCTACACTTTTGTCGCATCCTGCTAGAGTCATCCACAAGGAAGGAATTCGGTGATAGTTGTAACTCCAGCAGGTCAGACACTTTGCGAAAAAATTCATCTCTGCTGAGAAAACTTCAAAGGGAAGAAGAAGAATATGCAGCTGCAGAAGATGAGGTACTTGACTGGTCTACACCTTTGGAAAATCACAACAAGTCACCAGAAGTTTCAGCGAGTCTGTCAACCAATCGCCGAAACCATATTCATCCAGTATCGCCATCGACGGACTAAAATCCAAACGGTCCGGAAACCATTACGGTTTGAAAATTACATGCTGGACCTGAACCATAGAGATAACTCTAAGACTAGAAGGTCCCGAAATAAAGTGCTAAACTTTTTAGCTCAGCTCTGGTACTATCTTCGGTCCCAAGCTAATCGACTCACCCATCGAAACATAGGAAAATCCACTAACTCCTCATTTTTTCTGTCAAACTTTCATAGCGAATCCAAACAAACATAATGTAGAACTGGAATTTATACTAGAATGGGGTACGTTAGTCGATTTGCTTGGGACCAATAGGCTAGTCAAGTAGTGAGCCAATTTAAAATCGTTAGTTTCGTATTTATTGTTGCCTGAACTGCTTCGGATTGAAATAAGTTAAGTCGTGGAAACGGGAAAGTTTTATGTTGACTTCCCATTTAGCGTGTATCAGTAAAACAACCCTGCAAGAGGAAGATAGGAAAGTTTAAAAATAAACTCACACACGATATTCAAATTATGCATTCATATCAACTTAGTTCTGTAATCATTGATATATTTGAAGATTCTGCTCGATATGACTAAAATGGGCGCCTATGCCGAAGTAGTTCTCTGCCCTATATCTGCGTATTGATAATTCTTCAGATGTTAATCGGCTTATCGGCTTCAACCGCGTAACACGAATGACAGCGTCATAAAAATATGTATCATAAACTCCCGGGAATGCTTATCATTGAAAATTGGTAACTTATCGTAGCTGGCAAAATTACCCCCCCACCCCTCCCTTAAATCCACACTCTCCAATATCGCCAATTGATAAGCAAATTGAATAATTGGTGTTTCATTAGGCGCACGTAATAAAGCTTGTTTAATCCTATAAAACGCATCGTAGTCTTACTTGTGCTATCATTTACAAGAACAAGTGAGTTGACTGCGCACGAAAATCCCAGCTTCAACATGAAACTTCTGGTACTTCTTGGATTTTTGGCTGTGGCCGTGAGTATCTTTCACATTTTCTATGCATCGTCTCCACGCAGTGTATTTATTAATTTTCAAATTATCTCATCGCTTAGCACTCGCAAGTTTCCGAGAAACGTCAGAGCTCTCTGTACGTCGTGACGTTGTTGAACGATACTATTCCCAGCTTCCAAGATGCAACGGACTTGAGTTTGCTTAGAATATCTGACGCGAAGCAGCAAGTTTCGGATTCGCTTAAAGACTTTTACGTCTCAGTTCTCGACGCGAAAGCAGTTTCTATTCAGTCAATGATTAACCAAGAGCTTGACTTGCTTAAGTATGGAGAAACAGTTAACCAATGGTGTTGGGAGAACAATGTACCAATGCTCGAAGGTATCATGGGGTGGATTGGTACGCACTACAGTTATTGCATCAAGAAATTGGATAACTCAATCACTGACCTCGTTGACACTATTTATGGTACGTTCTACGCTGGCGAAACCAGTATCCGCAAGTATAGTTTGTTCGAGGTCTTCGAGATGCGGAACATCATCAACAATCCACAGTCGATCATTGATGCCATTGGCAACGTTAACACCGGTGTTATTAACGCCGTTCCTGAGCTTGATGATATTGTTACCAGATTTACACATGATCTGAAAGGTAAACTGTCAGTCTACACTTGTTGTTTGGCCGAAAAGCTTGCAGGACCCCTAGCAATGATGGCAGAGCTGAGAACTTTAGCTGAAACTTGTACCGCTAATCTGAATGTTTAAGTTTAAACAACTATGGAAATACATGACCAAACGATTGGCTATTTGAAGACGCAGCAGGACAGGCCATCAATCTCACACAACGAGTGATGTGTTTTTACTCCTCCAAAATGAATATAAAACCGTTAATGTACACGTAACCAAAGTTACAGATTTTTTTTGAAGTAATTATATTTTTTCTAACTTTCGTTCAGTATATATATTTTGATAGAGCTGGAATTAGGGCGTAACCGCTTTTGTAAACAATGACTTCTCGCCTAACTTTTCAAAAGGTCCTATCTAACATTTCACTCTTTTCGAGAAAAACGAGGTTGAAGATTGACAAAATCTTTTTTGATACTATTTTAAACCAAATCAACTTTTGACATTTTTAAGACCTTTAATAGTAAAATGCGATAGTAAAATGGAAATTGAAATTATAATCTACCCGTTTCATGCATTTTTTTCTATGAAAACGTGAAAAATGTTACATAGGACATTTTGCTCTTGTCAGGTGTACATTGGACCTGTTATATAGGACGTTTTGTTATAATCACAGTTACATAGGTCATTTATGTTTTCAACATTATTTGTTTGTTTTTAAGCATTATGAGTGCATAATTCAAGTTATACGAGTTAAATGAACAATATGAGTATTGGACAATGCATCAACTTTTTTTAACGGTATATCGCAACACTGCCCACAGATTGTTTTGGTCGATCGTTGGTGGTCGCGTGAGCTGCTTTTTATTTGATAACAGTGTTATTTTAGGGGCTGTTCATTAACTAGGTAGACAGCTTTTTGGTATTCTTGACCCCCCCCCTTCCCCATGCGTAGACAATTGTCCATATTAAAATTTTGAAATTTGTATGGGCCGTGGATAATTGTCAAACCACACCCACCCCCCCCCCACCCCCAACGGGGAAATTGTAGAAAAATGCTTGACATGAAAATTCCGATGTGCACAATCACATTGTTTTGGTTTGTTTGAACATTTTAGACGTTCTACTCGTATAAACACAAAGGACCGAAGTACAGATCTGCATTCTTTTGGTTTTTCTGATACTTCAGACGTTTGTCTTGATGAACATAGTTAAACGTCTTATGTAACAGTAAAATATCGTTAATGCAAATTTGGACTTCAGACGTTTTGTTCATTTAGAATTTTCTCAATTCAATTGACATTAATCTGAATGTGTGTGTGTGTGCATAATGTTTTTAGGTACATATGTTACAATGTGCATTTATAAACTCGATTTGTTTACATTTGTTACTTAGGACCTGTTGAAAAGTTAGGTGAGACTTCTCTCGATGATTTCTCGAAACTCAAGGCACGCCCACACAAACCAACATAACCAGCGGGAAGGAGAAGTCTTCCCCTACTCGCTGGGGACGTTGATTTGAGTTGGCGAGCCTTGGCTTTCTAGAAATAATCAAGAGAAGTCATTGTTTACAAAAGGTGTTACGCCCTAATTCCAGATCTATCTAGATATATATAGCAAAACGATATAGTGGTTCTCAGAATTTCGTAACAATTGGCAGTTTTGTTCCTTACCGAAAAATATTAGACCCGATTTTTTTGAATTTTTAATTAGGGTGACCATTTCCCTGCTAGGGTGGTCCAAAAAATCGTTTTTTATTCTATTTTTTTTTCCAAAAATGGCATTTTTTAAAAATTATAACATTTGAACCATTTGAATGATCAAAATATCGTGTGGTGTCTGCGTTCCATCGAGGAGGCGATATCCCGGGCTAGGGAACAACACGTGCCATTATTCAGACAGGTGAGCAATACTCTGAACCTTGATAGAATTACCAAAAATCTTGCTAGACTCTGTAACTCAATACAAACGTTCTGGCTTGCCTGTCTTGAAGACCCACTGTAATCGCCTAACAGAAACCATCCAAGCCAGGATGGTGGACCTCAGAAATCAGAACATTGCTAACAGGATCCACTCTTTTCCAGATTGTGCAAAGCCCATTTTGAAACTAACCAAAATCCTTAAAAATAAGCCAAGACCAATTCCACCACTGACCCCCTGGATATTCCCAGTGGTTAATCTGATAACTTTAGAAGACAAGGCTGCCGCGGTAGGTCAACAATTCGTCAGTTCGCATTATCTTGGACAAAACATCGTCAGCCCTCACGAAGCTGAGGTTGCTGAAAACGTAAGCAACCTTCATCAGATTCCCAATATTTTTCCCGATGAATCCAAGATTATGGCTGACGAGCTGTTGGCCTATATCAAATCATCTAAAAACATGAAGGCCCCAGATTTCGATGACATCCTGAATCTGGAACTCAAACACTTAAGTTCCAGATTCTACAACCATCTGACACTAATTATTAATCTGTACCTCCGACTTGGCTACTTACCCTCGTGCTGGAAGTCAGCTAAAGTCATACCCATTCGAAAAACCTGGGAAGGATCCGTCCTCTCCTTCAAGTTATCTACCAATCAGCCTTCTCTCAGGGTTATCAAAACTGTTCGAAAGAGCAGTCTATAACCGGCTCCTAAAATGTGCCGAAGAAAACAGCTTGTTACTCGAGGAACAGTTTGGTTTTTGGAAAGGTCGTTCGACCGTCCACCAGCTGACTCGAGTAACAAACATTCTCAGAACAAGTCTGTGTCGAAAACATCTGCCATGGCGTTGTTGGACGTTGAAAAAGCGTTCGACAATGTCTTCCTAGTGAAGATAATAAACGACTATCTATCGGACAGCACGTTCCGAGTCTCTTTGAATGGCATCACATCGGATGCTTTCAACATCGGTGCCGGGGTTCCACAAGTAAGCATCCTTGGTCCCATCCTATTCAACCTGTTCACCTCCGATATGCCGGCTATCCCTGATGATGAATCATTGTCTCTGTTCGCAGATGACACATCCATCGTATACAAGGGTAGGGTCATCTGGCTGCCAAACTTCAAAGAGGCCTGGACGTCCTGTCTGAATATTTCAACAAATGAAAGATCCGTATCAACGTGGCAAAGACCCAGGTCATCATCTTCCAACACTCTAAATCTCCCAGACTTGTTCCGTCGGAGAATAATAAGATCTGCCTGAACACAGTGGTGAAATGGTCGAAAGAGGTAGTCTACCTCGGCTTAACACTAGACAGCAAGCTGATTTTCAGGGAACACGTTGACAAAACGAAAACCAAGTTTAACATCTTGATAAGATCACTGTATGATACATAATATAGTATGTATCCACTCATCAACAGGATGTCTACTCTGTCCCTGAAAAACAAGCTTGCTGTCTACAAAAAAATCATCCTTCCCGTAATCTAGTACGGTATGTTAATCTGTAACCGTTTGGTCACAAATTCATAGGTTTTTGTCATTTATGTTATATATTCAGAACCTTCACGTTTCTTGTGCAAAAACAGTAGTATACCACAGAAGTGATAGGGTTCTGTACCGCTGTGAAAATGTTGTGCCGTTACGTTATGTCCACCATAGAGCTACAAACAACTATACAAACAAGAATGACGGGATGACGGGATGAAGGAAAATTGGGAGAAAGAACGGCCATTGCCCAAAATCGGCCTCTTTTAATATCAGGCGTCCGTGTGCTAAGACGCAATTGTATTAGCTAAGTGCAGTGGTTGGTGTTTTAGAACGTGAACCAGGACCCCCACCCCTAGCAACAGCTAGTGTGCGCTAGGGAAATTTAACGTTCAGGACCTCTTTTTTATATTGGACCTTAAAAAGGTTATCCGTCAGCACACGGCCGGCTCATAAACTTGGAAACAGGTTCCGAGCCCAATTGTCAAGGGCCAAACATTATTATCTGGCCAAACGTAGGCCATAATCGTAAAGGAGTTTTCCCTTCTCGGCTTGACCAAGGTGGCCTTGCCACGGTCGGCCGATCGTGCCAACGAAGGACGACGCCTGCCATCCCACCATCCAGCAACGCCCACTGGCCTTTGATCCGCTCGCTTCGCCAATCTGGCGAGAGTTCCGGCCGCACAGTAGGACAGGTGGCACTGTGTCGGCCATCCCGATTCACCATCAACGACAGCAGCGGTATGTACCGGTACAGTAAACAACGCGATTAGGCTACACGACACATATTACACGAAATTATGAACACAGAACAACACGCACACATTTAAAGAAAAGTGAAAGTTCTTCGTTTTTGTATCGCGAAACCCTCTGATTACCCGGTAGCTAGCCGACCCTGGGTGTTCCGGAGCTTGCTCTTGTCGCCTGAGTCGACCGGGTGCTGTATGTTTGATCTCCGAGTAGGTAGTTGGTGAGTGCTGATTTCTTACATCAGTTATAAATCTGGGAGAGTTGCGCCAAATGCCATCACCTTAAACTCCAAAGGATCAAGAACAAGATCCTTAGGATGATCCTAAACAGTCCCCCGCGGACTAGAAATTCTGAGATCCCCCTCCTGGCTGGAATTCAGACATTAGAAGAACGGAGAGTTTGTATCCTGGAAAGGTTCAGAGGCACCTGTCTGACATCAACTCATCAGATCATGATCTAGCACGTTAGGTTAAGTTATACTCGTTATCACTTTTTCAATCCAAACACAACAAAGGGGTTTTCTGTAAACTAG